TTTTTTCTGTTCAAGATTCTGTACATTTTAGTTTGAACTCTTTATTGTGTTTTCCTACAGTATATTTTTTTTTTAAATTCTTTTTTGTTTTTCTAAAATGGATTTGCCTACGGGCGCCAACACTCCCCTTCAATTTTTTTTTTAGCATTAAAATCTAGTTTCATTTCTTGTATAGACTTGATTATTGATAAAATACAGGTGCCCTCTGTATTATCATACTTTAATGAGCTAATCATTGTCGATTGTTTTTTCTGTTTATGAATCTGTAGATTGTAGTTTGAACTCATTAATCTGTGTTTAAACTGTTTAATTGACGAACCTACTCAAACTACCTAAACACATAAATAATACATAAGTATATAGTTTAATATGTTATTACTTTTTGTCTTAACAGTTACTATGTTAAGAGGCCGTCACAGTAGAAAAAAATCGACCGAAAAACATGCTTTCGTACTTCCAATAGTTCTCGGGCCTCGTTAATCGTAGAAACATGGTTTTGGTATCAAAATAATCACGAGAAGTTGTACTAAATATTCTTGGAACAGAATTTTAAAATTTTTTTTCTAACCAATTTTATTTGTATCTGAAGTTTGTACTATATTTTCATTTTTTTAAAAAATTATATAAAATCGACAAAATTAGATATCGAAAATCTGTTCCAAGAATATTTAGTACAACTTCTCGTGATTATTTTGATACCAAAATCATGTTTCTACGATCAACGAGGCCTGAGAACTATTGGAAGTACAAAACCATGTTTTGGGCAAAAAAAATACGAATTTGCCGTCGTCATGTGCTGCTAGAACGACTACAGCGGCAGCATTCTGAAATAGTTTATCTACCACTACCCCGCGTACATATGCAGCTATACCGCACCATAGGTCAAAACTGGTTATTTTATCGCAGCCGCGCACGGATTATAAATAGCCAAATACGTCGATACGAAAATAATAATTCTGTCAATGAATAATATTATTTTATTTTTCGATGTTATAATTCGTATTCTTATTACTAGCGAAGTTTACGCAAAATGGAACTACATAATATTATATCATAAAGTCGTCACCAAATAGCTGGAAAGCGTACGATTTAAACAATTTTTTTTTTCAATTATAGACATTTCTTCTATCAAATTAGCGATTTGATATTCAAGATTTTTTTTAAATTTAAATTAGCGTACCTAATAAAAACCGTCCAAGAAGAAGCAAAACACTTCACTCATGTCATTGTAATTTAGCCCATATTCTTATTGTGCCTCAGGGTACAGATTGTATATTTCATATAAAAAATAAAAATAAATAAAAAAAGGTGGGCAAGTGGGTGTCGCTCTGCTGTACAGTAGGTTACAAGTGGGTCACTGTATAATGGATGGTATTAAATTTGAATTCAATGATATAATATCATTGTATAAGAAAAACGATTCTGAGCGGTGACGGTATGTCAGTCTATGTATAAGACATATTATATACATATCTATGGTATTAAAAAAAAAATTGACTTATAATAGGTACCTATAATAAATTCCAAATTAATCATATCACAATATCCATTAGATACTTATAACGCGTTATACATCAACAAAAACTGTGATACTATCATAGATATATAATAGTACGATTTAGAAGTTTCAAGTACCCACGAATAATATTATTCAATCACAACAAAATAACTAAAATAGTTATTCTAGGTTTTTTAATATGTAATTTCGTCCAAATTTGAATTTAAAATGTCTGTAAAAAATAAGTGTGTTCATATATTTTTTAGATTTTTTGGTTATAGTATGAACTATTTATGAGAACCTTTGTGTTGAATTTGTAATCCTTAGCTATAAAAACTGAACATTTTATAATTTATTAATTACAATGATTGATAATTTTCGAGATTTTGATAAATTTTGTCAAAATTTGATCTTTAAATGCTTATAAAAAAAAACTGTGCCTATGTATTTTTAATATTTTTCAACTGATATTGTAACAATATATCAGGAGCCTTGTATTAAATTTTTACACTTTTTGGCCCAACAGATAAAACTTTATTGATATTTATAGAAAAAAAAACTAAAAAAAATTGAAAGCTGTAAATGTCCATAAACAGCTCAACAAGAGTATTTTATTTTATTATAACATGCATAACTTACTACCTATGCCCTTTTTACATATAGATAATATAATGTACATATTATGATATTTCATAAAATTAAATCATAGGTAGTATACTAGAATATAATATACGTCAGTTACACTATCTACGCTACCTATACCATTAATTTAAGTTATCAATTATAATAAATTGTCATTAATCTAAATGTTTTGTTTCAATTAACTATTATATATAACAAATGTGGTCTGTACATAATTTAATTTTAATTTATATACATTATATGATATTATGATCAATGAACATGTTTAGTTTATACAGATTGCTTTTTTTACATAGGTACTACAAATTGCAATTATATAATTAATATATTAATTTATTTATATTTATTTAATAAACATTATGGACAACATCAACTTCATATTATATGTATTATATGTTTAAAATTAAAATAAGATTATATTATATATTATATTGATGTCAATATTAACTATATAATCAAAACTATTTAAAATGTAGCTAATATTTATTTAATAGATTAAATTATCGTACAAACATTGCTTCATGTCACTTATAAGTTACAACGTAAAATACGTTACCTTTTTACTAAAAAATCTATTTAATTCTAATGAAATTATTATTTTACTTGTATTTAAAAAAGTAGATAATTGGGTTAGAAATATAAATCGAGTTATAGAATATAATAATTGTTATGCTTAATTCATTGGTTAATATTTTTATGCAAACAGGAGCTTTAATTAAAAAGTAGGTTTGCGACGTATGAGCTAGGAGGCAGCGCACCATGTAGAATTCATAGGCGACAATTTACGCAACGGTCTGTAATGACGCGAAACGTCCTGTACGACTGTCCGTGAAATAATAATGTACCTCTCCCGCGTTAAACAAGCGGGCCGCGTCGCGTACACGATGGGCGTGGTTACGGCCTACCGCGACGGCGGCGATACGGCGCACAACGCCATCTCTTGAGCGTTGCATTCGTTTCACTTTTACTAGGACGGCCTCTTAAGACTCATAAATCATAATCGACACAATCTAAATACCACATTACCACTGCCTAATAAATATACTAAGTAAAGTAGTACACAATATGATTGGAAATTTATGTCATTATATTATATTCAACTAACCCCCCCCCCCACCATCCCCACAGGTACGGCAATGGTCAGTTGTGAAATTGTATTTGTATATACAGTCGATTCCGCTTTATTGGGACACATCTGTTGGGTGTTATTTTGTCCCAATAAAGCGGTTGTCCCAATAATCCGAAATACAAAAACGAAAATATAAATTTGTTGAAAAACTGATTTGTTTTATATATTTTTATTATTACAAATTACAAACAATGTATTATAGAAATTATTTGATAGTACAAATTTTGTACTACAAAAAGAAAAACATGATATAACCTAATTATTTATAAAAATACATACATCTAAACTTTATAAGTTATATTATAAAGTACATATAAATATTTTTTATTTTTTTATTATGTATTTTATCTTATTTAAAAATGATATTGTTCTGTGGTCCACGGACTAAGATAGAATGGACTGATATCGAATGTCTTATCAGTGTGACGCAAATGTTTCTCTAGACAAGGTACCAGAGTACACTACATTCAGCGCCATCTATGGAGAAATAATCGTAAACATTTTATAAAAATGCATTGGAGGGAACCACTATTTACTTTTCTATCGTATATTATTATCACTAGATAGCGTTGAACATAGTGTACTTGTGATAGATGTGCAGTGTAGCGGGGCAGAAACATTTGGGGATCAGACCCCACCACCTCGCCATCCCTACCGTTACCAGTCCATTCTATCTTAGTCCGTGCTGTGGTCTTATATAAGACCGTGTGATAGAGTTTGTAGGTTAACCATAGATATATATTATATGTAATAATATAATATAATATATAATAATATAATATAATATATAATATATATCTATGAGGTTAACCCATAGAGTATATAGAGGAGCCCTAATTGAAATAATATGAAGCGGAAATGGAAACAAAACAGTGTAGGCAAACTATAGAAAATATTTTATTGTATATGAACTATAATACAATATTTATTGTAATTTAATTATATTACTCATTATTATTACTCAATTATATCATATTGTTCTATGGTTATATTAACCTTTATTTATAACTATCAATATAATATTAATTATTATAATATTACTGAACTGAACTTGATTTGCACAAATACGTAAATACTATTATAATATGTTATGGGAGGGTAGTAACTTTTTGGTGAGGAAATTATCAGTACTATCAATACTTAAATTATTGTAACACACCAGCATCTTAGGTTTGTTCTTAAAATAGTTTCTGAGTAGAAAGTATTATAACATATTCAAAATATTACACTGGTGGGATTTACGAAAAGTTGAAAATTAGCGCTATCTATCAGTTGCGTTGTTAGTTATTGGAAACCAAATCCGACATGTTTTGCTTCACTTAATTCATAATACTTATTCTGATAGGGCATCTCTATATACTCTATGGGTTAACCGAAACTGAATTGATAAGTGATAACACGACATGATAGTATTTAAATATTATCAGATATTCCATATGCACGAGCCGTCGAGCCGCAGACAGCAGCAGCTGCAGTCGAGTACTAAAAACTATGACGATTTTTCATTTCCCAAGACGTGGTAAAATTATTTAAAAAATAAAATCAAAGTTGAAAATTCTATACTTGTATAGTTCAATGGTAATGTAGAAGTGCCAGACGCCAGTGAGACAAAATTTCGATTTGATAATTTATTTATTTATTATTTATTATTAAAATTGATAGAATGATGTATTAAAAATTTCAATAAACTTGTGGAATATATAAATAAATTGTTATTTGTTTGAATCTTACATGATGAACGTTTACGATAGTGTTGTAAGAGGTACACAAGCTAGTCGGTTAATACTTATTGAAGGTGAGACATTTTACGCAATTTAAACCATTCAAATTTGCACATATTATACAATATACCTAACCTAACCAGTTAATATGTGATATAGGTACTATACTAGACCCTAATATCACATATTAATATATTTTTATATAATTAATTCTGTGAATCTACGTTGTACACATCTATATTTATGTGGTACCAGTGTATATTTCATGTAACAATTTTTTTTTGATAATCAATGATAATTCCTACCATAGGAATGAGCAAATGAAATCAAAATTAATTATATTACTAATAATTAATAGGTACTTATTCAACAATAATTAAGGTACTTCCGGGTTATCTCGACTACCCAAATATTCCCAAGTCTACCTGTTGGAATCATCCGGGTTATCTCGACTACCTCCGTAGACCGTAATTTATTAATAAATATATATTCCAGTGAATTATTAAAATCATCCGTCTTCAATCACTATACTGTCAATCATACATACAATTTTGTTGACCCAACCACAGGAGCACACACCCAAACAATTGAACGCCTTTGGGGATCGGCAAAGTGGCGAAACAAAAAACATAGGGGAACAGCTCGCCATCATCTAGATTCATACCTGACTGAATTTGTTTGGCGACAAAACCTTGGTAACAATCCACCGTTTAATAAGATTTTAATGGATAATAAAACCTGCTTTCCTCCTCAAAAAAATTATTACTACATTTTTTATTTATTTTTTATATTAAAAATTATTACTACATTTTTTATTTATTTTTTTATATTATATTATATTATTACAATTTTTTCTATACACATTTTTATGCCATCTTATCGTGTTTCAAAATAGATTTAACCTATATATTTTATATATTTTTATTATTTAAAAAATTGCGGTAGTCGAAATAACACGGTTGATCATATAATAGGTAGTCTTGGAAATATTTTGGTAGTCGAGATAACACGGTTGTGAACCTAAAGTAGTCGAGATAGCACGGAAGTACCATAATTAAAAATGTCAAATCGGTGTTGGTATGTAGCTGTAACCATATAAGACATTGTGTTTAATTTATATAATAATTGTTTGAAAATTTTAATTTATAATAAAAACTAATTTGCATTAAATATTTATATCAGTTATTTTTATCATGTTAAAAATATTTCTGTATATTGTCTTTTAGTTTATAATGAAACTGCTGATTTATGAATATTTCACTTGTTACCAAATAATATATATATATATGAATATATGTATAGTCTTAAACCTACATAATAATATATTACATAACATTGTAAAAATAAAATGTAATCATTTATTACTATATTATTAATGGTTTTTTAACTTTGTTTTTTTTTTGCAGATTCATTTTTAGCCAAAGGACAGTTTCTATTACATCTTATATCTGCAAATCGTAAATCTTACGACATCCATGTACTTTGTTATAAAAATTTAGTGTCCAAATATCAAACTTTATTTCCTTCCTTGTCTAATATTCAATACCATGATTGTTTGATTAATATTTCGTCTTTAAATTTAAGTATGTATGAAATTGTTTCATGTATAGTTGAAAAATCAACCAGAAAAATAGTAATTTTGATTGATTCGTTGTCTATGTATTTACTTTTAACTGGCTTCAGGAAAGTGTATAAAGAATTATTGGATATTACATCATCAGATAAATGTAATTTATTATTTTTTGTTACTCATTAGTATTATGATATAATATATGTCTTGGTAACTTGTTCATAAACAATATCTGATTTTTGCTATAATATGATTTTAGTTCCGAAAGTTGTTCAATTTGTGGTAGTGGTACACAAAGATGTAACAGAAGTTAATCAAATTGAACACCTGAAAAACATATGTAAGACTCATGTATGTGTACAGAGTACTAACAATCCGTTAATTTTAAATCTAACATTAGAACATAAAAGGTCAAATGGTAAATGTGTAGTTCAGGTAATTATAAAATGTTTAGTTATATATTTTTATTTATATAATTATCTTTTTTATTTTATTTAGAAATTAAAAGGAGAATTAAAATCTGATAGTACATTTAAACTAATAAATGACTTGTCACCACCGAAAATTGAAGAGGATAAAGGCATACCAACAAATTTAGCTAGTTTTAAATTAGATTTACAAGACAGTGAGAAGAAAGCCAAGGAAGAATTAATTTTACCATATACTCTGTATGTTAAATGCATAATGTAGTTAAAATTGTATTTTAATTATTTATAATTTATTATTTTTTCAGAGTGCAAATTCCATCCAATACTGGTGGAATGATTCATTATGTTCCAGATGAAGCAGATGACTGGGATGAAGAAGATCCGGACGATGACTTAGAAATATAGTATTATATCATATTATTTATATATTGTGTTATGTAAATAGAGTATGTACTTATGCATTTCGTTTTGAAAATTTGTTATAATATTTTCATATTGTAATTTTTTTCGTCTATTCATCAGTGAAAAAGAACTGAAATGTTTATAATGTGTTTCAAGAAAATCATCTAACAACTTTCTCAACTAATTCAATACAGTAAAGCCTCGGTATCTCAGTCTTAAGGGACCAAAAAAAAAAAAAAAATGATGTATCGAAACTTTGAATTACAGAGCTAATTTAGATCTTATAATAGTAGGATTAATATTTAATTAATAATAATTAAAAATAAAACTACAATAGACATTTTCTTATGCCTATAAATAGTTCAAACATTTTATGGATAACAGTGCACAAGCATTCAGTGAAAATTTCTTTTATCTAAGGTGATTTTATTTTTAGTTAAAAAATTTTCCTCAATAGTACCTATAGTAGTACAAGAATTAGGATTTAAGAACTTTTTATATGTTGATTACAAAGAAAATTTAAAATATATCAATACATAGGTATAAAACAGTAACACTAAGGGTCGTATTCATAGTGGATGCTTAAGAATAAGTAATACTTAAGATAATTTTGATAATTTAAAAAATAAAAAAATTGTGATTTAACTATAGCAATGCTTAAGGTAGGTCTTGACCAACCTTAATTTAAGTAATATTTTTTCTTTTCTTTAGCCAAAGTTTCGTTTATGAATCTCATTTGAGTCATAGGTATAGCTTAAGCAATAATTATTCTTAAGCATCGACTATGAATAAGGCCCTAAGTATATAGCAGTATGAGTGTATAACAAATAAATCTTATCTATAGTATAGAATTAGCTATAGTATAATTAACTATAGTATAGTACGATTTTATATAATAGTATAGATCTATACTATTATATAAAATCGTAAGGGTTTTCTTGGACCGCGCTAACCGAGAAAACTACTGAACCGATTTGGCTGAAATTTTTTACTGTTATACTTGACAGTCTGCTGGAGGTCATAGTACCACTTTTGTTTAGAAAAATCCACCAGAAAAGTAGGAAATATGGATGTCAAAAATTTGTATTTTTATACAGTGGCGGAATCTGTCCATAAAAAAATAAACTAATTAATAAAAAATGAACAATAAAGTTTATTGTTGCAGATTAAAATAATAATAGTGTATTATAATATATTGGTTGCTATGTTATCTATACTACTATGTAAAATTGTAAGGGGTTTTCTTGGACCACGCTAACCGGGAAAACTACAGAAACGATTTGCTGATTCCTTTTTGTTGTATTCGTAATTGTCAGGACAAGGTTCTTATGAAAGAATATTTTAGGGAAATTCACCAGAAAAGTAGGAAGTAGGGATGTCAAAAATACAACAGCGGCGCCATCTGTCCAGAAAAAATAAACTAAATAATAAAAAATGTTGTTAATTGTTGCAGATTAAAATAATAATAGTGTATTATATATCGGTTGCTAATGTTAATCGGGCATGTTTGTTGATTTGTATTATTATTTTTCGTAGATATATAATGTTTGTGTGTAGATTAGACCTCTGGGAAGAAGATATATTCATTGAACAAGGGTTAAATTTGGTTTTTTTTTATTCATCGGATTTTAGTACGGTTAGGTTAGGTTAGGATTTTGTATTGATTAATTATATCAATTCACCGTAGGTGGAATGAAGTAACTTTGATACTTTAGAGTTAAATCATACACTTACGTACAAACAGCTCGGGGTCAGCGATCTACCGCAGGTGGCAGGTAGATTGCCTACCTGATAATATACAGCTGAGAATCAGAATTTTTATTCTGGGCACAACGGAAAAGTTAAGATAAGTTTTCAACACCATACATCGAATATTAAATAACGAATTGAACAAAGTTTGAGTCATATATATAGAGTTGGTCCATTTAACGGCAACGAAATGCACGTGATCGGTTTTTTTGTAATAAAAATATATTTATCATTAATACCGCTAGAAACATTTCAATACGCTTTCATTAAAAGTTTTTTTATATTGACTTGCCTATCACATTAAGCTATAAAATTTGAATACAAAATTATACATATCATAGTTCAGAGGCAAAATAAACAACCAATCACGGGCGAAGCTGTGACGGGCCGGCTATATGTAAATATAAAACTTATTTAAAAATAAAACAAAATTTATTAAACCACTGAAATATTTCACACATTTTGAAATAATTCATGAAATATTTCACGAAATATTACATTTTTTTAAATTTCATGAAATTTTCCAACACTGTAAATAATAATAGATAAAATTGAGACAGCAGTCTCATATAATAAGTAGATACATAGTTTTTAGACAGCCGTTTCATTATAATGATACATCATTTTTAGACAGGAGTCTCATATGATAATACAAATTTACAAAATACAGTGATAATACAAATTTACAAAATACAGTGGTAATACAAATTTACAAAATACAGTGATAATTATTATAAACATAAGGGCCTGTTGTCCGGAATAAACATAAACAATTGGTCGACTCATAGGATAATTTAACTACTCATTTACCGTATTATAGCCTATAGGGTCCGTAATAGTATAATACATCTATTACAAAATTGACCAAGTTAATCAAGGGAGTACCTAGGGACAAGTGGACTCTGCATACGCGCGAATGCATATTGAAAAGAAGATTTCACTAATAAAGTAATACTGATTGCAGCCGGGACAGAAATATGAAGTTTTGACACTACAAAGTACAGGGCTGATTTATAAAAACAAAATAATTTAGTTAATTTTGGGGTACGCCAAGTACTCGCTCGGAAAACGGCGTACACCAACGGGCGCAAACGAACCGTTTGGGCCTCTTCCAGGCAGACCTCCTCCTCGGACCAACAGACCGTGATGTTGCCGGGTATTCCGGGACTTCGGAATATGTAGGAATTGGTAGGACAGCCGCGTCAATCATCGAGGTTTCCCCGAGTGTGTCCTTATTCGGTGCCACGCTAAAAGGCCCAGCAGGCTTCGACGATGGTCCTCCAATCATAGGCACGTCCTCCAGGCATACGGGTGAGCCAATACTCAATTCCGGTGACGACCGGGTGCTCTCCTCTGCAGCGTTTCCGCGGTGAAGTAGCGGTGACTTGACCGCAGCTGTGACCTTTAGGTTCACTGCCAAATCCAGAACGTCGACTATAGATCGACCCTCGTTATTGGCATACATTTGTTGGAATTGTTTTGGAACTGTGACGTCCATATTTGTATTTTACGACGTGATAAACGGCAGAAAAACAGAAAAATAACAGAAAAATATGAACAGAGATAAACGTACGATGACGGGTTTCAAAAAACTATTTGTTTACTACAATAAATATACAGCTATGGTATAGTAGTGTTCTTTTGTGGCCAGCATAGTTACCTTGAAGCCAGCTAATAAATAAGTTTTTTTTTTTTTAATTACTTAATTATAAGATTTTATTATATTTCATATATTTATTTATTTATTTATATCGGGCATGTTTGTTGATTTGAGTTATTATTTTTTATGTTCCAATTTTGTGACTACACTATTTAATATTTTACCAATTTTTATTCACAGAGTTGTTCCAAATACCTTCCTGAGTGTCGCCGTGTAGCCCAATTTTTATTTTTTTTATCGGAGGGAAAGGAGAAAAGAATCTATATATTATATACCTAAAATCCAAATACCACTGACTCACTGATCGCCGTATCTCAAAAACTACTCAATATACGAACTTGAAATTTAGAATAGTGGTTCTTCTAATACTTTCACCGTGCAATAAGAAAGGATTTGGTAAAATTCGCATTTTAAAGAGGTGCTCAAACAGGGACATTGAGGCTCACATTGAAAATTTTATTTTTAATTATTAATAGTTCCGAAGATCAGGAAGATCAGGTACAACTGTACAAGCTTGCATCAAATAGAATTATTGAACATTGCTTACCAAGGTGATTGGCGAAAAAGTTGCCCAAGTAGTCGGATTGCCTTCCAGGGTGGCTGAGTTGCACTTACTGCAGGCTGCAGCAAGTTACACCCAAAAGTAGTTGAACAATCATACATTTTTAAGATTTGCGATTTTTTACGGGTAATAAAATGTACGGGTTCTGATATAAAAATATATTTACCATTAATACCGCTAGAAACATTTGAATACGTTTTCATTAAACAATAACATTTTAATAAAAAATTATACATATCATCGTCCGAAGGCAAAATAAACAACCAATCATGGGCGAAGCTGTGACGAGTCGGCTAGTTATTATATATTTATCTAATTATGTGAAGGTACTATAATAATTTAGATAAAGTATGATAATATGAGTTTTTAATAATGTCCAAAATATCTTCAAATTCCAAATTATTCAATATATCTTTTTCTTCAGACATTAATAAAAAAATCATCTAAGCAGTCATAAGTCATAAGAATAGATAATGAAGCACATAGACGATTTTTGATAATTTTTAATTTGCTAATCACTCGTTCACAATTAACCTTAGTTACCGATAGGGTTAGTACATATTCCATAATGGCATATAAATTAGAATAAGTAGGCATATGTAAATTAAGCGAATTAATAGTAAACTAAAATCACAAATCAGACAATTCTCTCAGGCATGGATAGAACCAACAGTGTTCACATTCAGATTCTAAAAAAAAAATGTTTTTATATCAATATTCTTAACACCAATATTATAACACAAATAGGATAAACTTGAATGAAAAGTACTGCAGTAACTATAGCAAATACTTAAAATATATATATATAATATATATATATTAGTAATAAGAGTAATATTTGAACAATAATATTTTTATACATTGAAAACGCAAGTGATTGAAAACAATGTTTTTCGGTATTCGAGAACTTCTTTTACAATATTTTTGTATTTCCGATGACGTCAAAGCATTACTTGTACCACAAGAGATGCTGACAGTACCTAGTGATAAATACAACAATTTAAATCATTTGTTTTTACAGAAATTAATATT